ATATATACAAATAAATGGGTTAAATTTTGTTTTGTTTTAAAAAAAATGAATTTATATTAAATCCAAATAATATTCACCAAAAAAATATATTCAACCAAATCTTTTAAATTTTAATTTTGTGCAATTTTAAATATTTTAACTTTTTTTTGAATCAATTCGAATTTAATTCCCCCAATTCCTATTTATGTATTTAGCCATATGAATATGAATATTTCATAGTCTTCATGATTCTTTAGTAAAGTTCCTTGATACTTGATTTTGGAATTTCTGAAGCATTTTACGTCTCAATATAGATATCCAACCAACATTATGTTGGCATTGAGTTTGATAAGCTCAAAAGTGTAGTGTTTGCTTTTGTCATAATCACGGTGACTCGCTGTGAATCACCTCCAAAATTCAAAATTTTGTGTAACTGAGATGTTTTAACCAAACTTGAAAAACAGGCTAGAATTACGATCAAATAGACCAAAAAAATAAAGTATTTCAAGAGTTTGATTAAAGATGAGATAATACAGACGATATCGCCAAAAAGTGCTGTTTGTGATCTAACAAGTTGCTCTGGAAGCTACAAACCCCCCCAACCCAGCTTCCCTTTTAGTACACAGAAGAACTGCAAAATTACTATAATTTTCTACATAATGCCTATAAAATTACGACAATAAGCTCTAGAAGACTTGAGAGGACAAACAAAATGCCTACTCGCATTTAATTGATCGGTATATGTGACGGACAAAGAACAATGCAGCACGGAATCCAACTGTTCCAAGCATTAAGAAGAAACCATAGCATATGCAGGCCATGTATCCGAAGAAAAATGACGTCTGCATGAATCCAGACATATCGGAGCGTGCATAGTAGTAATACAGACAGTAGGCATAGATAAATAATCCAGTTGAACCACCGCATAGGAATGATCTGTAAGGAAATAAGAACACCGGTTAAGTGTGTGTAGGTCATAGAAAATGTTTTCATAAAGTAAACATAGGACTTTGTTATCCGGTTTTAAAGTTCATGCATTTTTATCTATCATCACAACTCGTTTTCAGTGAAAAGCTGTTATATGAAAGATCAAAAACAAGTATATACTTGCTACTTAATCCAATATCAATTCACTACATCAATTATGTCATAGAAGAGATTGCTAATTGAGAAATCAGTTAACTTCTAAATGCTAATACCTAGCCACGAGGACAATAAACAATAAACCATGCGAATTGGTGCAGGAAAGAACTTAAATGAAAAAATAGTTATTTCATACCTCCACCACCATTCATGATCTTCAGCAGCAAGCTGGAAGTATGTCAACGCCACGGTAATGAAAGCAGTAACAATCAAGAGAATGATGAAAACAATAAACAAAATACTGTAGATTGTGTAAATTCTGTGACCCCAAACACTGGCAAATATATAATAAAGTTCGATGTATATAGCACTGAAAGGCAAAAATCCTGCCATCGCCATCTGAGGAATTGATCCCCGATACCATGGCAAAGGTGGAATCTCCCTTGGATATTTAGTTGTGCGGACAGGAGCTTGAAATTCAGCCTTGCTGTTCTTCCCAGCAATCCCTCCCAATACAAGTAAAGGAGAAGTAACAAGTGTCCATATGAGAACTATAACAACAATTGTGCCGAATGGGAGGGCCGCAGTAGCATTGTAGACAATGGCAACAGTGTTCAGAAAGCAAAAAGTCAGAAACAGAGGACCACAGAAAAGGCATCCCGTCAATAGCAGATTCCGAACCTGTCATGATAGAAAGACGGGGATAAAATCACTAATGACTTAAAACAATTGCAAATTTAATGGATACTGAACAAATTTGCACAGAAATGCAAGTCAATACCCAGTTTGATCCTTCCAGTTGGCAATAGAATGAGGTTGCAGTATAGCCAGCAATTCCTGAAGTGAGTGCATATATGACAACAAGTGCAGTGAACAGAGCTCCGCGGTTGTATGGATAAAACACACCAACAAGTGCCAATATGAATATGAACACCGTACTGAATGGATAAATACAATTTATTGAGATCAATTAATACTTAAATATCACAACATAATTGTCTCAAAATGGGCATCTATAATCGAGACATTTTGATGGGCCAGAAGAAACTCACAGGGTAAACAGTTGGGTACCAGATCCAAGGGCAGCTGCAAACACAGACTTGAACTTGGGAAACCTAAAAACATCACCGTGGATGTATTTCCAGCCGGTCTCTTCCTGGTCCTCTGCAGTCTCTTCGTCATGTGCATACCTAATGAGAAGTCAACCAGGGACAATATTTATAGCTCATAGAAAGAACAAATTATATAAATTGCCTAGCTTTATCACATTCAATGTAAAAACCTAAATCACAAATAAACAAAGCTTCTTACTTGACAAAATCGTTCTTAAGGACCCGCATTAAAATAGTTGCAAGAAAACCAGTCAAGAGGAGGACTGTGACACACGAATTGATAATCGAGAACCAGTGGATTTCCAAATGATGGGGAAGAGAAGACGACTGAGCGTACTTGTCCATCCGCTTCTCAAAGGGTGTGTTGGTCTCCTTCCATTTCACAGTGTAGAGAAACTCTACATCAACTTCATTATCCTCAGTAACATCTACAAGGGCATTCTGATCCGTTCGCACATTGATCTCAATAACACGATCCTTATTATAAAAGATATCAAAATGGATATGCTTGTAAAGATAGTATCTATAATCACTAGGATCCTTCCCTTCCTTATCAACCTTTCCTATGAAACCCCAAATAGGCAAATCATCATAATACATCTGAAAGTAGTAGTCCTTACGAACAGCGGACCGAAACTTGCCCACATCTTCCTTTGTAAGTGTCTTCTTGCAAACTGAAACAGAGTCCTTCTCCCGTTGGAACTCAAGCTTATAAGGAGCACTAACCAAACGATCCCCATTCAACACTTCACCTAATGCTTCCTTCTTCTCTTTCAAATGATCTACAAACCAAACCCTCAAACAACTCAACACCCCAAAAACAAAATATCTCAAAATGCAAACAAATTCAAAATTTGGATCTTCCAAAGCTAGAGAGATAAAAAAAATCGAGTCATCTTAAGTCTTAACTATCAACAAGAAAATCAGCTGTGGCATATATTGCATCCCATCAAACAATCACATTACATATATGGACCATTCAATGTTGATCAATGGGTCCATGCTTTAACTTGGTGATTTGAATTTTTTAGCAAAGTTGGAATTAAAGCCATTCAATTATAAAATCGAATAACTGAGAAAACACATGATTTTTCTAACCAAAGGGAATCTGTGTCCGATATTTAAAAACATTTGCATCTAATATCATCCGAAACCCAACGTAAAACAATCTCAACGACATGGATCTAATATTATCAACCTTATGTTTTAAAACCCATCATTGACCTCAATTATTTTGGCCATCACATCAAGATTTTAAGAATCCGTCTTAAGAAACCGGCATTGACCCCAATTATTTTGGCCAGCACATCAAGGTTTTGATGTTTTAGCGGCAAAATCGAAACTTGAGATTGATATCTAAACAACTAAAATTGGGGTTGCATCAAGCCACCAACTGTATTTAACTGCATGTGGCAGCATCAATCGATTTTAACCCCTATTAAATCACAGACACCCCCCCCCAAAATGAGAACCACATCGCAACACTGGTAATAATTTGAAAAAATGAATTAATTAATTAAGCGCAATCAGAAGTGTCGGTGCTATATAGAGTTTAACCCCAATTTCCCACAATAAAACGGTAGCAATATAACCGTAACTTAAAATTAAAACCTTAAATAACCATAACTAACCTGGCAAACAGAATGGTAGATCAAAATAACGATAAGTCTCACTGAAAACAAAAAACAAAATCAACACATTATTATCAAATCAAATACATTATTAACATTAATTTTGAATAACAAATCGAAAAAACTAATGAAATTAATTAATCTGAAGGTAATAAACAAAACGAAAACAGATCCAGCGCGTGCAATGCGCGTGAAGAACGGATCGGAGTGAAGCAACGAAGTGCCCACCTGGGGTTATGGAAGGGACCGACTTTGTTAGCGAAAAGAGGAACGGAATCTGCTTCTTTGTAACGGTGATCTGACGAATCAGATCTGACGGTGGAAATGAGAGAAGAAATTGAGAAGGCGATGATGAATAGAAGCTTCATCTTCGCCATTAACGATTGTTGATTACTACTTCAACCAAAACGAATCTGAGTTATAATTGAAATTTGAAATGAAACGAGTCAAGTGAAAGTGAAAGAGGGGGTGTATATATGAAGAAACAGAATGGTGGGGTGTTGGTAGAAAAAAAGAGAGGGGAAGGTGAGTTTTAGTGAAGTGACGTAGACTCGCTGCCTTACGTTTATGTTTGGTGCTTCAACTTACACAGCTTTTTATTTTGTTTCTTAGTTTGTTAATTAAGGAAACTCCTTTGTTATTAATATTTTACTACTTATTAAGATTCACCATTCATTTTTTTTACACACTAAAATATGAATAAAATCTAACTTTAGTAAATGTTTTAGTGATTACTCACATAAAGAAATATTTAGCAATTACTTTACATAATATTATTTATTTTATTTATATGTAGACAAAGTAATTATAGTTATTAAAAACCCTTATACAATGGGATTTAAATTGTTGACTTTTATTAATAATTGGATTAGGATTTACGGATATATATTATTATATTATTAATAAAAGTTAAACTCAAACATGTCATCAATCTATATCCAACTTAGTATATTAATTGAATATTTAATAATAGAGAAGTTTTTGTATAGAGTCCTTTGTTTTCATCACTTTCACACGGTTGTTATTTGTCAAGCCATCAGATAGAGGCGCATTTAAGTCTCTTAGACCGTCGTTTTGAAATATTCTCGCTGAAGACCAACGAGTCACTACTGTGAAGGAGATAATGGGGCTGATTAAAAAGAGATTTATGAAAGTCTTTCTTGAAGGACGAAATTAATTGCTACCAAAGGTTACGATGGATGATAAGCTTTTTCAAGAACTCTGCAATTCTTGGAAGGAAGCTCTAGTCATTAAACTCCTTGGTAAAAATATGGGTTATCATTTGATGAAGGATATGTTGAAAAAATAAGGTAACTCACAGAAGGTTTTAAGATCATGGACGTAGACAATAGTTTCTTTATGGATAGGTGCGAACAGCTCGTAGGTAGGGAAAAATTGTGTCATAAGGTATGTGGATGTTGTTTGACAATTATTTGACAGTGGTTCAATGGACTCTAGATTTTGCATCTCCTCTCGCAAAGGTGGATAAGACTCTAGTTTGGATTCGATTTTTATGGCTTAACCTATTGTATTATGATGAAAGTGTCCTTCTTGATTCCATTTGTTATAGGTACTCGTGTTAAGGTAGATATTGACACCCTGAATGTAAAGAGAAGAAAGTTTAAAAGAATTTGCTTGAAGATTGATCTGACTATGTCTGTTGTCAAAAAGGTCAATGTTAATGAACATTGGCACAACGTGGAGTATGAAGTTCTTCATATCATTTGCTTCCTTTATGGCTATCATGAATATCACACCCGTGATTGCAAGAATTCACCAGATAATTTGACGCAGTCGGTCATTTCTATGGTGGCACAACCAAGAGTTCTACTGGAAAATGATGATGTTTATGAGCAAAGACTAATGAAACTTTATCAAGAAGTGGGTGATAATGGCGCCGAAATTGTAGCAAAAGAATATGGAAAAACAAATGCAGTTCATGGTGATGAGGGGTGGTGCATAGGAAAAATGCAATAAAAAAGTTAGTTATGGTCAAGAGAAATCTTTACCTAATAATGCGCTAAGAGATTCAGGGAGTTCTAAAATCAAGGAGATTGAAGTTTCCTTAAAAGGAATAAATGTTGACAGCAAAATTAATGGACGCAATCAACTTGATGCGGTTTCCAAGAAACAACGGTTTGATAAGAATGGACTCATCTATGATGTAACACCCTCAATTTTTAATTATAAATTTATTAGAATTTCTTTTGATATTTGAGGTGATTATAAATAGGGAGAACGCTCCTGCTCTTAAGAGAAAAAGTTGGAAAAGAGGAAAATCTAGATTTAGAAGGGCAGAAACAGAAGGAAAGCTCTTCCATCACCAAGTTTAGGATTTTTCTACATATTCAATGTAATGGGGGAAATTATTCAATAAATTGGCCTATGTCAGTAGAGTAGTGAGAATTCCTTAACCTCTGTAGGATCGTTTGTTTATGATTATCAATATGATAGTCTATGAGTATGAATATGATTATGTATATGTTAATTTGTTTAATGTGAGTTTACAATCGGTTGATTTTAACATGAGTTATTTATTTGTTATTGGGATGTTTTGTTACTGCCAATTTGTTATTTTGTGAATTTGTTGGTCTATTAAATTATGAGCAAAATTGTTGATATGTGTTATAACATGAGTTGATTTGTTGATTGTTAGTCTTGTTAAATGTTGGTATAGATTAAATTGTTGATTTGTGTACATGAGTGATCAATTTCATGATTTATGAATATCGGTAGAAATTGTTATTGAGATAAAGGGTTACTGTTAGTGATGATAGGTAATTTAGGGGGTTGTTGAGTTGGAATCTGAGTAGGTTGAAGAAGAGGGTTCAATAGTAATAACAAATTTTCCAAAAATCTTAACGTAGAAAAATGGCATTGTAGCAAAAATCGATCGCGGGGTGCTATAACAAAATCGATTGTGGGGTAATGTAGTGGAAATCGGCATAATCGGGAAAAAGTCAAGTTGGGGAAAATCACAGGAATGGATTAGATCGTAGTTTCGTGGAAAAAGTTGGATAAGGCCAAAATCGGATTCAGTATGGGCCGCATCGGAAATTCAACAGCGGACACGACGATCGTAGTCCTCGTCTGGACGATTATTCCGTTTCTCTATTTGTGGGAAAAATGTCCCACTTTTTGTATTTTAGGGTATTTTCTAACTCGTTTGTATGCTGATAAGCCGTTATCCAGAGTTATTTTAGTGAATGAACCTTATAGATGAATAATTAGTTTGGAGCTAACTTTAGAGTTAGGAGGTCTTGAAAGTGATATAATGAGTCTGGATAAAACTCTAAATATCGAGGGATTGGATCATTTATATACTGATGGATTGAAGAATTGAGTAGATAAATTCCTATAACTCGTATGTAGCGATTGAGTAATTAATAAGTAACTAAATTGTGAAATTGACATAACTTTGGAGATGTAAGCTTAATATTGGATACAATTAAGAGTAATGTAAAATATGATTAAAACTGGTAAGTTGTAAAATAATATATTATGATGAGTTGTGAATAATTTGAGATACAAGCAATGACCCTGTAGTTGCGTTTGAATTGAGCTTTTAAAATTAGGTTTGTGAGAACCAGTATTGAGACTTATTATGGTATTAAGTTCGTGAGAACCAGTGTTAAGACTTGTAGTGGTATTAGGTTCGTGAGAACCGGTGTTAAGACTTGTTATTGTATTAGGATTGTGTGAACCAATGTTGAGATTTGTTGTTGTATTATGTTCGTGGGAACCAATGTTAATTATGTTGATGAAATTCACGTGATGGATATGAAGGTTCAGATGGATATATTTGCATTTGTTTGTCATTATCATGCATCATATAGATAACGGAGTTAGGGTGTGAATTTGGTCCGATGACGTTTTGACTTTGGCCTAGTGATATTTCGACTTTGATCTGGCGATATTTGACTTTGGTCTAGCGATTTACGACTTCGGTCTGGCATTGTAGGATTCTCAGTAATATAACTCTGAAATCCAGTAATCGTACCACATGCATGGGAGTAGTGGAGACGAGCAATGCATTTTCATTGTTTACTATGAGTATGATGATATTGTATATTGTGCCTTGAGTAAATGTGTATTATAAACTATCATTATTGTTATCATGTCATTGATATTTATTGAATGTATTCTCATCCCTTTTTGTCTTAGTGTGTTACCTATGTGAATGTATACAGATGACTCTCATGCTAAGACTGGGGAGTAGTAGTGTGGCTATGTCGTAGAGATGGTTATTTATTTTTTATTTTATCTTCATCAGATTTATGTCGGATGTTAGTTTATTCTATGCTCTTATATTGTAACATTGGGATAAGAATCTTATTTGTTTTGCTTTGATATTCCTTCTAGTTGCATAAGTTGAATTATAATGGTTTATTTATTACTTGTGGATTTAGGTTACCATTAATAAGAAATTGGCTATGGTTTTATGTGACACCTTTTGTGTTCTTTTATAAATTGCGATTATTTTACGTTTAAAAAAATTATTGGGGATTTTAGGGTGTTACACATGATGTAACACCCCAATTTTAATTATTCCTTTTAATTGAACTTGTATTATTTTATTTATTTGAGTGATGTTTGTGATTTATTAGATTATTTGAGAAAGGTGAAACAACTGACAGAAAATCATCGAGAGAAAATCAATGAAGTCGCTATCGAACATTTTTTATCCCACAGGAAGGGAAAGGTAAACATCAAGTAAACCCGAGAAGAGTGAAATCAAGATCAAATGACCGAGAGATACGGGTAAGGGAGTCGATTACGCAAGGGGAAGGTATTAGCACCCCTCACATTTGTGGTACTACACGGGATCCACTCTTGTTGTTATAATTAAAGGGTGTGTTCAAATCTAAAGCTTACAAGCTAATGGAAACAATGCAAAGAGGGAATGCATGCAAAAGAAAACACGGGGAAAAGAATTAATATTTACAAAGTTTTCGCTCGAATGAGCCCTACAACCAGATGCCTACGTATCCCTTTTAAGAAATCAAAGCGCTGTAGTTCGACTCAAAAGTTTTCGTTTGTTGATTGATTTTAAATGAAGAGACAAGCCGCTATTTTTAAAGGAGAAGACTCGTCTAAACGCCTACAAGGTATGATAAAGGATAAAAGACTATGCATCAACATGGGGGAGGATTTGAAAACACCTATAGTACTCAAGTGGAGAAGTCGACAACCATGGGGATAGAGGAAGAACATCTAAATTATAAATGAATCATGTCTAATCTTGAAAAAAAGGCTTAAAGGGTAAAAGGTGCTCGAGCGCACAAAAAGGTTTGAATGGGGTTGAATGTTTTTTAGTCTTTTTTTAAAGTGTTTAAATATGCTTATGTGGTTTAGCATTTATTAAAGAAAAGAAGTTTTTGTTTTAATTATGCAAAAGGGGAATAAAAAAAAGTCTAAGAGAGGCTAACAATCCTAATGTTATCATGCAATGGTGGTCCTAAAGTTGAGTTTGAAAGGGAAATCTCAACCTATGTTAGCATGCATGGATTACAATCCTAATGTCTAACTTGCATTGGAAATGACACAAGTGAATCCTAAGGGAACATGGTATATACAAGAAGCAAAAACAAACAAGCGATCAACAAGCTCAAGAGAGCACACACATGTCATGAGCAGTGTACACTAGCTCAAGTCAAAAGGCCTAACCAAGATCAAATCATCAAGGTAGGTAAAATGGAGGAAGTTCCTGACCATAGATATCTCATCTAGGCAAGAAGGGGTCATAAAAGCTACTTTTAACCAAGGTATCATGTCACTAAGGCAAGAAGTATACAGTGGGGGGAGTGAATGTCCAAGGCGACTAAGCACCTAACAAAATATCAAGAATCGAGGTAGGAGATAGAAGATAATATGAATAAGCATGGAGCATCAACATCGCCTGATGTGAGCTCAAGACAAAATATGGGGGATTGGTTACAGATCCCTATATTCCACTTGACCGACTCGATAATAGGAGTAGCACGATTCGAATCATCAATGTATGACGCGAGCTACAAATGACATAGACTATAAATGGCGGGATTGATTACAGATCCTCTGCTCGCCTTGCCTACTTTTAAGGAATTATCAATGGGGAATGAGAATGGGACGCCTTCATCGAGGTCTTTGGCACAAATGTAAACGAACACTAGTAGGAATTTCCTTAAATAGGTCTTTAAATAAACCATATTTGCCTCAAAGGGATTCCTACTACTCATGGCAAGGAAATCGAAAAGAAAATGTGGAATATAAAAAAGATAATCACAGTACCAAACAAACAAAAAATATGTAGCAAAGCGATATCAAAGCAAAAGAAACCCGAAGATCTTCGCGACAACTTCACCAACAAAGAAAAGAGTCAGAAATTGAACGCTCAGAATAAGTTTCGAAATATCATCAATGTGAAAATAAATCACAATTGGAAGGTGCATCAAGCGAGCTCAAGGTGTCTGATAAAATATTAAAGCGCCGGATAAGAATCCCTATCAGATAAAATACACAAACATAACAGACAAACAGGAGAGCAGAGAAATAATCTTAGCATCTCTGAATGAATTACAAACTTGTACCAAAACTACAATGAAACAAATGAAACATGGAGTTGGATGCTTAATTAATTAACTTAAAAGTTAATTAAGTTAAGAAAAGTTAATTAGCCAAAACTAATTAATTTTTAATAACCAAATTAAATAACTAAATCTACTTTTAATTAATTAATTGAAAGCAACAAAGTAGCACGAAATGGAAGTTTAATTGATTAATCAAGAGTTGATTAACTGGATTAATCGAGTTAAGAAAAATGAATTAGTAAACTAATCCATTTTTAATAACAAAATCAAGTAAATAAATCAACACTTGGTTAATTAATCAAAAAATGGATAAGAAGCGGGAAGAGGAAGTATTGTCTTGATAACTTGAGAAGCTTGCACAAATCAACACGTAAGTTAGTAATCACAAGAGAATTGAAAACAAATGAA